GTCTTAGGGAACCACTCCCAGCCATCAGGGTGTGGGAACCCACCCAAAATCAGGCCAGGGAACTGATCCAGTTTAAAAACAAGCCTTAGGCAACTGCACGCTGGAAGGGAGGGCTGCTGCACTCCTGCATACCCCTCTGCCCACTGTGCCTTCAGCTCCTCCCTGGCCCATGCTGAGACTTGTCCAAAAGGGTGGTGAGAGAGTAAAAAGCGACGGTTTTTAGCTGGCCCCATTCCCTGAACAGGGCTGGTGGTTTTTGGTTAGGCCAACTCTCTGTACACACTCGCTGCCCATTCACACGAGTGCCAAGCAAGGGCACGGCAGCCCAGGGGAGAACGGCTCATTTCAGACCTATCCACTAGTGCTTCCTTTTCACTAATATTCACTGAAATTGTGACCTAAGTCCTTCCTAAAGCTTAAGCAGATAGTTAACGATCAGGATGCATTTCCATGTATGTTGGTAGTAATGCTGGTGTAAGGAATTCCCACCCATCCCTTGCCCAACGCTCACCTTGTCCTCCCTCGCCTAACCAGCTCCCCCACAGCCCCTCAAGCCTCCTTTTAGCTCACATCAGAGAAGCGCCCTGGTCAGTGGGCCAGACGCGCAGACAGGCATGATGGCACAGATGAGGGCCAGAGTGGGGCAAGAGTGAGTGCTGGGGGATAACAGAGTAATTCTGCATACTATTAAGGTGTGGAAATACATTCTTGGACTCCGTAGCCTGGTGCTCTTTTGCATCTTTCTGGAGAGCTAGAAAAGACCTGTCCCAAAATACATATTTAATGGATTACTGCCTGTACCAACGCTTATGTTTCCTAGCATTGCGAATTTTAGGCAAGAGAGAGAGGGAGAGAACTAACTTCTGTCCAGTCATTGCTATGATGCCCTCATATTGAGGTTTGCTGAACATTAAGAGCATTAAATAGACTCAAGACTGACTTGAGCTTCCTAGATATCCCCAGGCCATTCTCCTCCCCTCTAATGAAACTGTCTGTCACAGTAATGGATAAAAGTAATGTTCTGCTTTATTAATCTTTTCTAAATCTCTATCTAGAAATCTTTTTTTTTTTTAACCCCTGAAAATGATTTCAGCAGCTTTCTCAATTTGGAGGCTCCCATTTTGGTGCTTAACAGGAATAGCCTCAGAAGTGATTGATTGTTAAAGAAAGATGGTTACAACTGAAAGATAAACAGTCACCCCAGCTGAAAGTATTCACCCATTTCATTGGAGCCAGAATTTCACTACTGATGAAGACAATCTGCAATATCCTAGCACAAATATACTGAAACATAAAGCAGCCTTTATTTATTCATTTATTGGCTACATAAAATTTGTGTCAGTGGTCTGTAACTTGGAATGGCTAGTGGACTAAAGAGATGGCTTTTTTTCTGTCTGTATTTTAACTTGCTGGTGAGAGTAATGTGTCTACATTCCACATGTATCTCCGTACATTTCTTTAATGGCCTTGACATCAACCGCCAAAGAATTAACACCAGCTGACCTGAACAGACTTAGCAGGATTAGGAATAAAAGAGAACTGCAGACACTGAAAACTCTTATATACTTTTATTAAGAAAAAATTCTTTAAAATATGAAACCCTTATACATGGCTAAGCAATATTCCCACTTTGAAATATTTATATTATAAAATCATTTGAAACAGATATTTGATAAAGCAATTGCACATACAGCAATTTCATACACTGAAAGTAAATGATAGGTTTTTTGGTAGCCCTCCATCAGATTTAGCATTACGAAGTAATTTCTTTGCTATTTTTTCTGACTTTCTCTACCCTATACATAAATAGATATTTATGGATCTAAGATGTCTGTCTAGAAATGAAAAAAATTCTCTTTGAGGTTAATGAAAGGGTTACGATGTGCTTTATGAGTATGGGACCGTTGCAGTATTAATTAACTGCTGATAGCATCAGTTTGGGGTACCTAATGTGTTCATAAATTCATGGAGCAGTTATTTCTATTCTGTTGAATAATTCTTTGCTAAGATATTTTATTTTTAAGTATGTGTTAGAGAGATGCTTGTTCTTAACTACCCTTCTCTTTATCCATGTAATTCTCAAACAATTCTTCCTTTGGATCAGTAGCTTACCTACTTTTTCTGCCTTCTGTAGGACAAAAACCGCTTGCAGTGTCAATTAGATGTCTAATTGTCTTGAGCAATGCTGGAGAATTACTGAAATACTTGACGAAAAGGAAAGAGAAGGTAACTCTCCTTAGGGATCATTACATTTGCTAAATGTTTTAGAGTAACATGTAGTGCAAATGACATTTTATTCGCATTTTTTCTCTCAGTCTCCACTGAAAGCTAGTATCTTGAATTATCAGTCAGTACTAAATGTCACAAAATAATGGTGAGATAGGTCAGCTCTGATTAGGCTCACAGCAGAGCCTAATACAGCAGAGGCCTACATGGTGTATAGTACATGGCAAAAGAAAAAAAGAAAAAAAAAAGCCTGCTAGCATCTAGTCTGCTGTCTGCTGTCTGGTTGCCCTATTCCTTGTTTTTTAGGTTAGAGGAGCTGACTGTGTGAATTATTTAGGAAAAGTAAGGTGAATCAACAGAAGGCGTACAGTCAATACTTGTTAACTAAAATATTACATTGATGTGGCTGTACTAATTCAGGAGTAAAATGGCTAAATTCGTTGTAATTCAATCCACCTATGTGATTAAAGATATTGAGATAAAGTGGATATAAAAGGACCAGGAGCTGATGAAAATTGTAAAACAAACAAAAGAGCAATGGGCAAACAGATAAGCAGGAGAGAGAAATGTCAAACGAGGGCAATGGGAGAGTGGAATCAACCACGCGGAGGCTTCATCCACCAGCCCTAACCCGAAGGAATGCTGGAGGTGGCCGAGGCAAATGCAGAAGTCAATGTAAAAATGAAGGTCAAAGAAAGAAAGTAAAGGGATGAAATGGGCAGTCCAGAAATGGTGCAAGTTAGCAGATGAATAACTGAGCCCCCCCATAGTTTAAGACTACGACTTGAGACTAGAGTGAAAGGATGACAACGACCTAAAATGTAAAGTATGCTTAGGGAAATAGAAGTACTAACAATTATATTTGCATAATCCTAAAAGAATCTGTTAGAAATATTTATAATAACACTGCAATGCAAATTATTCAGCGCTTGGTCTGGTTCACATTGGGGGAAAAAGCTAGATAGTATTTGATGAAATGCTATCTTTTTCAACAGTAACTCAAATTTAGATTTTTAAAAAGCAGAAGATCCAAATAATTAAATCCAAAATTGGCCAAGGAACTGTCCAAAGCACTATTTTGTATTATGAAATACTTGGAAAGTTCCAGAAAATGGAAATAAATTTCCTAGCATGCCAGTTTTTAGAAAGGGCAAATGAAATAAGCTCAATAATTATAAAGCAGTCACCTTGACATTAGTTCTGGGCAAAACTGATTTTCAAGCTTGATGTAGAAAGTGATTAATACTGAATTTTGGAATAAGAATTAATGCTTACTAACACGAGTTTACAGAAAATACATTCCATCAAGCTAAACTTAAATCTCTTTAAGTGAAATTAAACCTCCATAAGAAACTTACCTGAAACCATGCAACACTTTGACTGACAACAGGACCATCCGTAATTAATCCAAAATCAACAACAAAACATGTACATGACACTCAGTCTATTCTCAAGCACCCTAGCAGACTGAGCTATTGCATTACTCACGCATAGACCTCACTCACAAAGACCTAGGACAGGGTGAAGGATCTCCATGTCAGAACTGAGTTATGCTGTATTAAGTGATCTTGCTGAGTTAGGTAAATCTCAAAAAATTACTGAAACCAAATTACTGAGACCAAAAAAATTTTTTTCCTTATGTCCACACTCTACCTCAACAAGTTTCAAGGGAGAAGTTGTAGCTTCTGGATGCAGACCCACACAGCCTGGAGCAAGGTAGGGCAAGAGTCGGTACTTGACGCTGTCATTGCAAACTGCTGCATTGCCACTGACTGCCATCCACCTACCCAGCCACTAAGTGTCAAAATACATCTTCTTCCATGGACTGTAGAAGAAAACACTCCCTGGTTTGCGCATCTTCAGATTTTTGCTTTGCAAGCAGTAGAACATACTAGGGTAACACCTTTGTCCTATTAAAAAGAAGTTGCTAACAAAGCTGCTTGTTTCTGAAAATATTCATTTTCATTTTTCATTTACTTAATTTCAGTCTTTTTTTCTTATTTGTGTTTGCATTATTTGAAACCAATATTCTAGAGAGCAAGTTAAAAATAATTCAAGCAGGGAAAATTAAATCATCATCGCTCGTATTTTAAAATCCAGTATTTGCAATAAATTGTTTGGAAGCAATGAACAGCTCTTTTTACTCCTCAAAGAAATCGTTGGTCAATTCGTATTCAGAAAACTGTTGTAAACATTTTTTCCTTTTGTGATCTGACAGATTCTCAATTATTCATAAAATTGAACCTTCTCCTGTATTGTCAGATGTTAGTGACAGTTAATTGTCACCTCAGAGGTTTGGGGATTTTGTTTATTTGTTTTTTCCTAACCAAGCTAGGTTGAACATATTAGTGAACATTTTAAGATATTAGTGACATGTTTGCTGGCAAAACAAATTTGATCATATTAAATATCTATTGAGTTTGTACAAATTCTATATTTAAATAGGATATGAGGATAGGTAAGATATGATAGGGTAGGATAGAGGATATCTTAGGATATGAATTTAGTATTTTAAACATAGGGAGGAAAGCACAGGTAAATATCCAATTTTGTGTATTTAAGCTATATCCATAAGTGATGTGCCACCTAAAATTGCTGAATGTAGTTACAGTATTTATAGTCCCAGCATCAGGTATCTCAGGACTCTGATTTTTTTTTTCAGAGAAATTAAAGATGATTGTGTGCTTTTAGAAGCCAATGTCTTTCAGAGATCACAAGCTGAATACGCCAAAAATGAAGAACTTGAAATATTTATTGCACTTGAAAAGCTTGTCCATGCAGTTCTAAATAACACATATTTATTTATCTAAACTTGTGTTTGGCGTGAGTACTGAATTGTTCAATTTTCCAACCTGTTTTTTGTAAAAGAAACATTTTTGAGTTGAATATTCCTTAAGTAGATTATTATTAGAGAACAGCACTGACTAGAGAGAAGGATAAAATGGTGAGAGTTTACACAGAGTACTGACCTGTGTAGATAATTAGCTGAAAGGAAATCTCGAAATATATTTGTGTTTTCTACAGTGCCTTTAATTTGAAAGTCAAAAAGCATGCTACAAAGATCGTGCCCTCGCAGGGCTGCAGTCGCTTCCTGGAGTCTCCTTTGAGAGAGGCTGTTCAGCTGTTTGGTTTGTCCTCAGAGCTGTTCTGTCAGTCCTAGTCTTTTACTTCACCAGTGGAAGTCCTGTGCAAATCAGTGCACCATTACCAAAAAGCAAATTAAAAGACAAACATTGCATAGGTATGAACTTAACTTTCTGATTTAGACCGCTAAACCAGTGTTAATCCAGAATTGTCGGCGCACTTTATACTGAAGAAAACCCCAAACCTGGAACAGGAGTGGTTTTACATGCTGCACTGTGCAGCATTGGAGAACTACATAGAAATATGAACTATTTTGATAACCTTTTGGGAAAGAAAAAACAGAAATAGAGGCTTCTCGTTACAGGTGATGAATCTCATTGTAGAATGAGTTGAATTCAGATCCCTAACCTTCCTATAGCACTTTTCCTTTTTTTTATTTTTATTTTTTTCTCCCTTGGTGATGTTTCCTTTCTGAAGAATGTATGTAGCAAGGCACAACAAAAGAATTTGCTTCTCTGGCCTTTTGAGATGAATTACATTTAAATCCAGTTCATCCAGTATCTGGGGGATCGTTAGCTTGTGTGCTGCTTCCCTTTAATCAGTTCTTTGCTGTTTTGACTTCATGATTCACCATCACTGTGTGTACATGAAAAAGAAAAAACACTTGTGTCATGCTGTTTGGTTGCTTGTCTCTCAGCAAAGAAAAATATTCCATACTATCTTTTCAGTCTGTAAGAACGTGTTACCAGAAAACTAATGTGTCAGCCATGCAGTGCATGAAATGAACCCAGCTGTGGTGCTAGATACTGTGAGCAAGGGCTGTTCTGATTTCTCTGTTGTCTAAAGAGACAGTGCAGTGCAAGCTTTCTCCTGCTCCCAGGCAAGGACTCAGAAATCAAATACCCTTCCTCCCACACTTTAGGATAGGTTTTTACAGATGGAATTTTTACATTAAATCCAGCTTCATAACAGCTGAATTTTTTTTTGTCCCTCTGGTTTCTGCCTAAACAGTTTGCTCCCTGGCACTTTCTTAATGATCTGTTTTGTTCATGCCAACATTGAAAATGCAACGTTTTTATCAGCTGGTTAGATTTCAGTCCTCATTGACAGCATGGGAGAGTCCTCCCCTGGACTTGAGCTCTTTCCTTGGGGCCGCAGCTGGTATCTCCGTGACATGGAGCAGAACAGCCCTTGGATTCAGGCTGAGCAGGTGGGTCCCCCTCGGGTTACCGCAATGCTGGGGTGGAATGATGGCTGTGATGCGCGATATATCCATATCCATAAAAAGGCCATATCCAGCCCCAATCCAGCTCCCTCCTGGTGCCATCCATTGCCAAACCATGTGAGGGAGTGACATGCCCTGATTCCTAGCCTCCGTTATCTTGGCTGTCTTTGCCCACAAAGAGAGAGGCAAAGATACCTAAAAAGCGTCCTGCTCTTGAAGCCCTGCTAGCTGGAGGTAGCAGGGCACCGCAGTTGCAGCTGTATACAGGCTCTTGACAGGACCTTTGCTCCTGGCTGTGTTGCATTACAAAATATACAAGTACAAATGGCTGAGCCATAAAATGTCACCTTCTTGCACTTAAGTTCTACCAAGGAAGAGGCCTTTCACACAAAGAAAACAACATAACATTTTAAAGTCTGAAAAAAAGAAGCTGAAAACATTCGGGGTTAGGGGCCACAAGCAATATAGGATTGCTATATAGAATATAGGAAGCAATATAGACTCGAGCTGCTGTATTTCGCAACCCAGTGTTGCACAAAAAGAAAAACATGCAGAATTATTGTTAGAGCTCCGTTTATAGCTTGTTGTAAAAACTATACAATGGAACAAAACTGAGTATGGAGATTTTTGCTTTACTTTTTCAATTTAAAAAGAAAGCCTTAGACTTTAAATTAGAAAGCTGTACCAATTAAGATTTCTAAGGCTATGTAGTTTCAAAACCACCACTGAAGTTTAAAGGGTCAGTCATAATCTTAATATTTTCCATATATTTTTAAGAACCTTGCTGAACTGAGGCATAGGCTGGGAAGGAAGTGTTTCTTTCTGCTCCAGTTTATTCCCTACCCAGAACATCCCTTCCTAAGAAAGAGTTACCTTTTTTTGGAGGGGACGAGTGGGAGGGTGCCGCGCTGCACTCAAAGGAAAACAAATATCCTCAGCAGGCAAGATAAAGTGGGCTGGCTTTGCTTCATCATATTCATCAGTATAAAGACTGATGCTGAGGAGTGGACAGGCTGCGCCTCTGCTTGCGAGGGTAGCGAAGGTTCCCCCAAGAAGAGATTCATCTCGCTCCTGCCGGGGCGCCATGTGCGCCTCAGCCCTCGCCTGCCTCCCCTGTGCCCAGCTCCTCCCCACACAGGCTTGCACTGAAACCTCGACCTGGCAAAGCTAGTGAAATTTCTTGGTTCTCTCCGCTTTAGTGGAAGCAGGATATTGGCACTAGATTACAAAGGCAAGATGTATTCCTTAATGCACAGCGGGCTTGTGCACAAGGCAGGCAACCTACATCAACAAAAGAGCCAGGACTGTCATGTCTTGCCTATTCTGCCCAAATCTATGACCTTCATGCTCCTTAGTAAAAGATTTTGCTATCATAATAGCTTTGTTTCACTTCAGTATCTTTCACAGTTCTTGGCCAAAAGAGCTGCTGAAGCAGACCTATTTATTTATATGCAGTTCTCTTTTGGGTCTTATTTATTCAGCCAAGACAGTTTGGTCAGAAAAAAAATACATCTTGGTCTGATAAGGCTCAATCACAAAAAGGAATGGGAACCAATTTTTTGTTTACCAGGAAATCTCACAATTTAAAATACTTTTTCCCTCAGAAATGAAGCATATTTCAAAATTTCATGCAAAATGAAACTTGAAAAAGTAGTTTTGAGTTCAGGAAAACACTTGACTTAGAAATACTTCAACACTGCAGTGCTCTTTTCTTTGATGTCTTTTTAAAAGTTTATATTAAAAAGTCACTTACTCTGAAAAGCAGTTTTGGAACAAAATTCATTCTGAAAATGTCAAAATGTCATTATTGAAATGCTTTGTCTCAGATGTTTTCAAAATGACTGTTTATCAAAATCAGTTGATAGTTCAAAATAAAATTTAAGTCTTGATTGATACCCCTCCAGCATTTTGTTTGAAGAAAGAAAATAACACCCACAAAACTATGTTTAAAAAGGTATTGAAATGCTTCCCATGTTGAAACATCATCAATAAAATCTAAAAAGGAATTAACATAATTTGAGAATAAATTTTCCCAAACAAAGCAGGCTTCCAGAATCTGAAATTGAACCTAATAATCTTGCATTTTATATTTAAATAGTGTCCTTTGTCTGAACAGCTCTGACTCTTCTAAGGATAAATCCCATCTCTTTATTGGTGTTTGTTTGCCTTCCTGCACCTTGAAGGCATAAATATCTTTAAAGTTTGGTCCTAAGGTACTGGTTATAAGAACGTATGCTTAAATAGAGTGTGTATCTTCACCCAGACTGAAGCACATATATCTGAACAGGGTTGCTTTTTGAATCAAGGCTTAAGGCTTGCTATTGTGCGTTGAAGTGACAATATCCCTATTTTACAGGTGGGGAACCTGAAGTAACGGGTAGGCCAAAGATACCTTTTGCCAGTCAGGAGTAGAAACCACACCTCGACTTACATTAATGTAATTCAAGTACAAGAGCACTCTAACAAAGACAATATTTAAAAAGGCAACTCAGGCTGGTAGGTCAGGTGATTTTTCTGAAAATGACTGTTAAACTTTTGGAAAGCAAACATAATGCTGAGGACACTGTTGTACCTAAAACGCCTTTTATAGTATAACTTATATCTGCTGGTGTTAACATATGGCTCAAGAACACTTTGTCTTATACTCCATATTATAGCAGGCAGAGCAGTTAGCAAATCCATTTTTAGAGAAGCATTTTGCAGTTACCTATCCTTATCAATTTTCCCCCTGTGAGGTATCATTTAGAAGCTGAAAGGGAAAACAGAATGGCTTGTGAATGCAGCATCTTTTCACAGTGTCTCAGTGTAAAATTATTGGGCTTGGCTGCATCTAGAAAACTGCAGTCTAAGCTTTGGTTTAGAAAAAGGGGGGGTTTCTCTTGTAACAATCATAAAAGGAAGTCTTTTAAATACAAATAGTGGCAATGCAGCTGCCATATTCTGAAGCTATCCTGAAACAACATCTTTAGAGAAATGGAGCTGTAAACTCTCCAGCAATGATCATTTAATGTCACCACTATTTCATTCCTAAGCAACTAAAGTCAAAAGAGAGAGGGATGGGATATTATGGAGGTCCGCAGCAGTGAGTGCAGTCCTGTCACAGGGCTGTTTTGATGGCAGGGCTGAACTGGCTTAACATCTGGCTGCCACTGGAAGCCCCATTCCCGCTGCCTCCACCCCTGCCAGGCCATCCCCAGGCACCTCTGCTCTGCACCATCTCCCTCAGGTGCCTCTGCTCACATCCTTGGCTGCATCCCCTGCATCCACCACACAAAGGATTTTCTTGGCGAGCAGAATGGTTTCATTGTTTGTTATCATAATCTAGCACAGAGAAGAGTTGCTTCACTCACCCCTGAAACACAGCTGCACCATGACTGGGTAGGCAGAAGTGACATGCAGCCCATTGCTGCCAGCTGAAACCCTAGACTTGATTTTAATTAGCCAAAAATTGGAGTTTGAGCAGGATTCCGGGGTTCTGGCCAAAATCCTGAGGAAACCATCCAGAAAGTTTTAAAGTTTATAAGCTCTTGGGATTGTGCTTTTGCATCCAACCAGTGTGTCCTCCCTGGGATCTCCATGCAGGACTGTAAGTTAGTACCAGCTCCCAGGGAGCACTGTGCTGGGGGCATCAGGAAAATCCTTTGGGTTTCTCCTAGGATCAGTCAAACCACTGTCCAGCAGGTCAAAGCCCCAGCTGAAACACCTGGCAGTGGTTCTCAGGGACATACAGGCACCTCATGGCATAGGGGAGCTGGGAGCTTCCCTTCACGTTGGCCCTTGTTGGTGACAAGCGCTAAGAGAGCTATTCTGAATGCTTGTATTAACACCTCAGGAAACTGTGATTAAAATCTGATCAGCTAGTGAAACTCCGTCTGTGCCATCTGGTTGTCTGTCTCACACAGGTTTACAACTGCAAGATTACTTATGGGTGAAATTTACAGGCAACAACTAGTGTAAAAATAAAAGAGCATCAAATAATGCGTTTGAGCTGAAATCAAAGTCCTCACATATAAAATCTTTAAAATTTAAATAGACCAAAAAACCAGTCGGTTTTATAATTATATATATAAAATTTGGAACGACTGAAATGGACCATATTTCTTCAAATACTACAGTGAATTAAAAGTACCTTGGGTTGGCAATTGATTCTTTTTCTTCTTCTCTTACAGTAGGCAAACATTCACATTCAGCTAAAAAAGGATAAGAAACAAGAATATAGTTACTCTCAGCAAGTCTTCTCTATTTATTGCAAAATTGCATCAACTTTTTGGTGCAGCTATTATAGAATTTAAAATTGCAGCATGTTCTCCTACATCCTTTTATCTGTAATATCTGCTTACTCCATGTAGCATAAATATTATGTGTTTTAAAGCCTCCTGTCCTTTGATAGGCATTGTAGTAATTTTTTTATTATATATATTTCAGTTGCTTGTGTCTACACATACAAATGAACTACTTTGAGGGCTCTTTACCATAAACTACAATGAGGAGGACTATTTGTTAATCTTCCACCGTTTATGATTGCACCTACACTTTCACAGCACTAGTGCAGCCAGGAATTTGGGGCTGCAGTTTAGGGAACAGTACTGAAAAAACTTTATGTAAAATGTTTGCTCCGTTTTCTCCACAGAATTTTTAACATTATTTTACAGCGTTTTTTTCCCATGTACTGTATTTAATGCCTTTATTTCACTACCGTTGCTTAGCACATGTTTTCTGCTAGTGCTTACAGACCGAGAAGGTCAAAACCCCATCATGTGGAGCGCTGTGCTAACATAAAGAAATGCTCCAAAGAGTTTTATATCCTGAAAAACAAAACGTCTCTAGGAGGTCAGGCAAATGAGCCATGTGGATGCAAGGCAAGAGGCTAGGAATGAAAAAATACCAGGATTTCAGCATTTCTTAGCCAATGAAGAGTGGTTAGCACAACTTTCCATGAACCATTTTATCATCAAGTCTCAGTTAAACAGTGCCTTACAGAAGACCTGCATTTTTTTGAGGAGAGCCTTGAAGGAGGATGTAGGGCCTTTAAGGATTTTGACTGGGAGACTTCAGCTGGGGAAGAAAGGGGGAAAAATATAAGATGCTTAAAAGAGAAGTAGCTAAAAGGAAGCTGATGATGCTGGTGGTGTTAGTTACAGTGGGTACCAATTGCTCCACGGGCTACTGGGCTTGACAGCGAGGCTATAGTTGGCGAAGGGTGCTGGCAGCCAGGAGCAGCTTGTGTTTGATACCAGAGAGGTGGCAAGGGAGGGGAAGGACACAAAGAAGGGAGGGATGCAGTCAGAGTGGCAAACCTGGAAGAGGATCCTGGCAGCAGTTTTAAGTAAACAGCATTCTGACCTATGAGTAAACAGCTGTTTCTTCTACAATAGCACAATATGAAGCACATAACTGTAGAAACTCTGAAGGCTGACAGGACTAGATGCTTCAAATAAACTGCTATTTAGCATTAAAAAAGTATTTAAAACTATAAATACTGTTCACAGCTATACTTGTGTTTAATAAAAGCTTCTACTGGAAACTCAAAACATTTATGCTATTCCATCATATGTTAAAAATAAGCTCCCACACAAACTAAAATACTCCTCTGAAAAATTCTACCCCTGACATTTGTGCTGCTATTTTAGTAGCAGGGAGTCAAGAACACAACTAAAAATGTTTTAGGAAAATCAGTGACACAAATACAAAATGCCTTGCCTTGACTTTCTATTCATGGTATCTACCTCAGCTAGAAAGAGAGGGATGATGGAGTAGAGGAGTTACCATATACCATTTTTGTTCATGCTGTTCATCCATTTATCAAGCTCTTCCATTTCTATCTCCATAACAGAGGGTGTGTCTTCTTCAAAAATAGGACTTGAGAGGAAAAAAAAGACATTACACAAAATGCTTAATTCAATAAACCTATTACGTAATAATTTTGTACGAGGCTTGCTCTTCCAAGACACAGGTCTTCCAGGACTGTGTTTCTGGAAAGTTGTCCTGGTCTAGTAAGCTGAAAACACGTCAGCCCAAAGGGTAAGAAGGAAATGGCTGCAAACAGATCTGAAGGGTCGGCTGTGCGCTGTTGGTCAGCATGACATGGGCTTAGTGCAACAGCACATGCAGAGCTGTTCAGGGACTCAGATAGTGTAGTCGGGGGATATCTGTGAGCACAGGACCAGTGTGGCTATTCAAGAATTGTCTCTATTGTAAATAGAAAACTGAAAAATAAATCTCAGCCCTACTGGAACACACAGCTAAAGTCCTATTGCTCCAAGAATAAAAGCATAGGGCCTAAAGTTTCATCTTAACTATGACTGATATTGGCAGCAATTTAAAAAGGAAAGGTCATAACTCTAGTAACTCTGTATTTATCTTAATGTCTCCACTTACTCTTCCCTTTACTAATCATTCCTAGAGTTGCACAGTACAAAAACTATTTTTACTGGAAACACACCTTTTTTTCCCCCATGAACTCATTTTAATAACTTCCAGCACTCCTTAGCAAGATGGAGCTCAATAAAAGGTAATGATAAAAATTATCACTCAGATAAGAACCATGCAGCTTTTGATTTGTTTTTCCAGCAGCTCAAGAATCACTTCCATGGCAGCTGGGAGATCTTTTCCGTCTCATGTAAGAGTGAGAAGACAAACTTGAAAAACAGGGAAGTAAGACACAGAGCTTATTCTTCACAGTCAAAGCATATGATGAGACTGGGAACTGATCTCCTTTGCTCATGGTATACCTATATCCTGTGGTGTCTCAACAGTGGCAGAACCAGGGATGCCTACAAGCAGGCAGGGGAGATGTTGCAGGTGATAAGTCCTTGTAGGACAGTCTTGCCTCAGCGGTACTCTTGTTGTGGTCTTATGCCTCCTCCGCTTGCAAAATAATGAGATCACACTTGAATCAACTTTTTCAGATCTGCGCTATAGTCCCTTTAGCAGCCCCTACAGATAGTTACTGGAATAATCACAATGGTAGGAGTGTTTAGAATATGGTTAAATTAAACCAGATAACAAAAGAGTTAAAATTATGATGTCCTATTACAGTAAAAGAATCAGAAAAATGAGAAATATTCATAAACTTTACCTTTTTACATTTTCGCTTCCCAGCTCATCTGGAAAAGAAAAAGTTGATGTTCATAGTTACATTGTTTGTATGTATTTAGGGTCTGTATTACAGGCAAGTCTTGAATAGGGTCACTTAAAACACGTTCCATTTTCAAAGAGCATAATAGTTAACTTTTAGATGAAAGGCAAAACATCTCAACCTGCTCATAATTTTCAGAGGAGCCCATTACTCTTAATCTTTAATACACTAAAAGAAGCTCGTTATTAGCTCAGCCTTGCTGGGAGTGAACAGACTGTTAGCACCACGGTGGGCATGAAACTACAGACCCACAGTTCCCTGAGCAAAACAGATGTAATGAGAAAAGTGTCATCCTGAGAAGGAACCACTGCTGCAGAAATTGTTTATTGGAAACATCAGGACATTTTGCTGCAGACTACATGCAGTCAATCCGTCTCTGGATGGAGACTGTGGGAGCCTCTCACGAAGAGAAGAAGAGGGAAGGCTTGTATGGCAGTTTAAGTTTCAGTTAGGTAAATGATGCTGAACTAGCCAGATGCAAAAAGGGATATGAAGCTAGTTATGACCCCCAGACAAAGTAAAGGTTGGTAAACAAGCAGTGTAACAGCCATTATTCAGGCCACTAACTTCCCCTCCAGGGATTCTTGAAGTGATCGAAAAGCCTCAGCTCTCGAAAAAGAATGAAGAACTACATATGGTATCCACATTGTACACTGTAGTCTTAAATCAGCTTATTTTTAATTCAGTGCCACCGACCGGGTGCTGAAGCCTCCCACTTGTTCCAGCAACTCCCTTGCTGCAGAGCCATCCCACAGCCGTGGAGCCATGTGGCACCCCGTGAGGATGCCCAAAATGCTGGCTCCAAGCAGTAAGCGCAGGGCAAGAGACACCCAGAACTGTGCTCCTGCAAGGCACGGCGCTGTGAAAAGCATACCTGCATTTCATGCCATCCAGAAACAGGCAGGCCCCTAGGTGTCTATCTGTGAACTGAGTGTTTGCTAAGAGTGTGACCCCGTGATAAGGCAGGTGCATTCTCAAAATGCCCTGAAAAATGGGATCAAAATGTATATTAAATGCATGTCACTGTCTTCAGGCTGACATACTTACAATGGCATTCACATTCTGTAAAGGCACTGGTATGACCATTTTGGGAGTCCACTTACCAACTGCGTATTTTTAATATGACACCTTAGTTCTGTTTCTGTTGCTTAACACTTCAGACTTACAAATTTCTGTGTTAACAGAGTATACGTTGCTTCCTGAAATATTGCTCTTCCTATTGCAGCACATAGCCAGCATGGTCATGTGATTCCTCAGTAATTTACTTTGATCTTCACTAGTGGTTTCATAGCTGCTAACACCCTACAGGATCCCTCTAAAAATGTCCCTTAAAATGGTTTTGCTTGTTCTTATTTTATTGAAGCTCCAAGCAGCTTTACCCTGTGGATAGTACAGGCAATAGAAGCATTAAATTCACCTTGCATGAAGTTATTAAGCATAAAGACAGAATAACTGTGTATAGTCACACAGTTACATCTTCACTCTATTAGCAGAAGGAGCCAGAGCTTGCTGTCGCAGCTCCCGTGGGTGTACAAAGTGAGCAGGAGGTGCCAAAAAGCAGAACTAGCTCACAGCTAAAGGACAACTAAATATGCAGAAACCGCTCACCAGGGGTAACAGATTCATAAACATAAAAATAAAACATAAAAAATAAAACCCGAGAAACACATCCTAAATGTGGCATTCCAGTCCTCGAAATAACTTTTTATTCATGTCAAGTGTGTTCTAAAAATATCCTTCTGATGTGTGAGAAGATAGATTTTACCTTGTTTAGACTTTTTCCTTTTATGATGTATTACAAAAAACATGATCAGCAAAATCAGCAGGACCAGCAGCACGATGGGGACAACGTATATCAAGATAGACTGTTCTGCTGTTTCTAGGCTGTCATTATTGCTCACAGTATTCAATTCAGTACTTGTACTTTTTGTTTCAAAACTGTATTCAGTAGCTCTTGTAGCAACATATTCATGGTCACCCACAGTTGTAGAATATGTAGTAGGCATAGCAGGAGGAGGTGTTACTGTAATGGTGGATAACATTGGTGATCCATCTCCTGAAGCAGCAGTTTCATTCTCAAAGCCTGCCAAACATATGAGGACAACTTAACATTTTCTGTTTTATACTGATATTCTCAGTGAGTCAAAGCATACAGCTCTAATATTTACTTTTCATGTGGCTTGTTTAAAGAAAAAAAAGCCACCAAATGCACATACACACACATTTGAAATCTTGGGCGCTAGATGTATAATTAGATTACAGATTTTCAGCTAGCTGGCTTTTGCTTGGACACATCAGCATGTGTAGTCTGTCTGCATGCAGCTGTCTCACACAAACATAGGTTTTTCTTGCAGGTTCACATCCGGTCTGGCTGTCACTGTAAAAGTGTCCTACTTATCTGTCAACTACACCATCCTGCTCCACTCCTCAGGCTTAGTGCTTATGGTCTCAACCTCTCCCATCACCCTCCTTACCCCAGAGTTAGCACCGTTCACAGAGACCATTATCCCAGGTTCCCCATTTCCTCCAGCTCAGTGATTTCTCAGTTTCTGTGCCTTTCTCAAATTTGCTAAATTCACTTAACTGCATGGCAAATAAAGAACAGGTCTGGTGAAGGGAAGTGTGAAGCCTGTAGTAGCTGCTGACTCTTATTTCTGCATGGACTAGAAGAGGTAATAACACAGACACTTCATTGGATACAAATGCAGTAACTGCTCCTCTGTCGGATGCTACAGGCTGAGTAAAGGAGCACATGGTAAAGATACAGTGCTGGTTATTTTTCATGAATGTTGAGGTGGGGTTTTTTGAATCTTGATTTGGGTTTTGGTTTGATTTAGGTATGTTTGGCAAGGAAAGTGGCTAAAATTGGCTACACCGGTCACAGTAAAATGAATTTTTTTGAGGCTAATTAAGAGGCGTTATTGCTAGCTGTCATGGAGTATAAAGCCTAATGTTAGTACAGCAGATTTTGGCTTGACACCATACTGATGCCAAATTTCCTGTTGTTGCCAAGGGTGCAGGGATCAGTCCTTACATAAATTACACCAATACATTTCCAAATGCAAAACCTTCAATAATTTTCTTAGCATGAAATTAACTGATGACTTCTTGTGTTATCTGTCCGTTCAGATACAGTGCTGGCATGGTACAGCTCTTGTTTTACGGAATAAAGCAGGACAGGCTTTCGTGACTTTTGCAATGACAAGATTCTCGCTGTTCTTGTAAAGTGCTGGGCAGCCATAGTTTCCACTAGAGTTAGCAAGAGCTTACGGTTTTCAGCACCTCATTGCTGGCATTTCGAATCTCACAGGACTGGAACCAAAAGTACTTAGCATTTTAAATGCTTTTGTAAACACATTAATCTTCATAATGGCCCTGAGAGATGAGCAGTTATCATCTCCATTTACAAATGAGAAACCAGAAGGACAGGAAGCTGTCCTTCCCAGGGACACAAAGCCAGAGAGGAAAACTGGGATTAGAGCGCTATCTCTTGCTTAATCTGCTCTGCAGCATCTTTTCTCTCGTCAGATTTTTCTTGAAAGAAAATGAGTATCTCATGAGACTGTATTCCAGGAAACCCAGTTTCAAATGGAAAAAAATGGCTTGAGTGTGGCAGCAGTGATTTATCTATTTTGTTATGCCGCACTTATCACTCAGGTGCCTGATCATTTCACCCTTTTCTTGAAGCTAGGAAAGGATTTTAATGCTTAATAAATAATTCTTAATACTTTAGTAAAGTATTTTAATACTACAAAGGTCTCTTTCACCACAATACAATAATCAGAATGTTAATTCTTCAATAGCAAAGCGCTTGATACCAGTGGCCTTCAGTTATGTAACTTCCATCTCTATTTAGTACTTCAGTCAAGAGCAAAGCATGATCTCTGTCTCCTACGCAGGCAACGATCCATTACATGTGGGCTCGTCGACCCATACCCATGATATGCTGGCTCTCGTTAATCCTATCAAGGAGGAAGGGAGCGAGATTTTCTATCCATTGTTACTCTTGGCCACTTGACTTCTCTTTCCAGAGAGTTTGTAGTCCCCAGAGTTTGCAATGAGTCTGTTTATATTGTTGTTTCATAAAGCAGTAAGATATCAATATAGGTGGCCACGAGGTAGATTTCTGCATGATTAACCATACTGCTGGCAGAGCAGACGAACCATCTCAGCGTCACAGAACCATTTCCATGACCTTGTTTCATTTTCCTCCTCTAACCTGTCATCTGCCTCATTTGATATATTGATAGGGATAAGCCCATTGTTAAAAGTAGTACAAGTGGGAAAGGGTGTGGGGGAAATAGCTTATTTTTCATTTACTATTAGAGCTAAAATGAATTTTTCAAATGTCTGAAACATGATGTGACTTTAAAGCAAAAGCAAGTGACATCTCATTAACTGCAACACTGAACTTTCAGTTGGAGTATTTGCTGTGTTTGACTTCCAGGAGAGCCTTCTTCAATGTCTCTGTTACTTTTTATTTGCCTGTTTTTGAGCTATAAAAATTTCAAATCATTTCAAAGGCAGATTTCAAATCATTTGTCTCTGTGTGAAAGAGAATTACCCTTTCTACTATCTAGACAAAGAAAATGGCAAATCACAGAGTGACCTTGCTACTGCATATTTTTGTCCACTCTGCATAATTCCAGGGACAAAACAGCATCTCTTATTTGAACACGATTTCCTCTTAAAAGATCTTTTCTTTCAGCGAATTAAATAGTCTCTCAGCAGAAGGGCAGCCAATTGTGCAATGTGCTAGTGAGGATATTGCTCTTCTGCCTTGTGTTTTACCTGCTGCCTTGGCACATCTCCCTTTGGCTCTTCTATCTGTCACCTCTGAGGACCAGAGCTCAAACCTCAGATTCAGGTTTCTGGTGATGGATACCCTACCTGTCTAGGGTAGGTTATCCAGAGATAAGGGCTCTTCCAGCTCCCTTCTAGTGCTTACAGATCAGATTTTTTCCACGGTGATAAAACCACCACCTGTACCTAAGTGGGCTTTATGGGTTGCACCAAGCAACGCTTTTTACCTCTACCTTCAGCCCTGCTGGCAGGGATGGGCACAGGCATGTGGCATGAAAGCTGCATGCTGCAAAGTTTGGAACATGGCTGGGGAGGACCTGAAAGCCAGAGACTTCGTTTGATGCTATTTGAGGGTCTTCTCCATGCCCGGAGGGAGCCAGTTTTGCTACGGTTGTTCATACCATGAATTGTGTGGTCAGCTGTGCTTGGGTTTCATTTTGCAGAGAGCTAATTAGCTTCCACCAAAAAGGAGTCTGGCCATAACACAACATATATTTGGGGTGGAAAATGAACGTCAACGGAGTGAAACAAGGAGGGAGTCAAATCTGACAGTGTAGATACTTCCTGGACTTGTAAGAGTACATGCCCTCCATCTTGCCGAGCTCAGCCTAGTGCTTTTGGCCCCATTCTGATATTCTTACATGGCCTTCTGCACAAGTCAGTAAAGAATTAAGTGCTCACACAATAACCATGATCAATGCTTTGTCTAAACCATTTTGTCTAAACCGTGAGCGCTGGGGACTCGCCCCCATGCTGGGAGGAGCTGCTCTCGCATGCCACAACTTCAGCCCAGCTCACACTGCCACTTTCCTTTCCGTGCCCCTCTGAGCAGAAGGGAGGCATTGGCACATGGCCAGTCTCATCCTGACGGGCAGCTGGGCACAGCCTGAGTGGTGGCTGAATCTGGAAAATAGGAAGTTCCCAGGTTTCCACCACTGATTTAGTCCTCCTGGGATCAAAACCTGACCCTTTCATCGCTGAGAAAGCACTAGCAGCAACTCAAAAAAGGATCCACTATGATTCTTATGAAAAGAGCGTTATGAAAAGGCTGCATCACTGTATTCAGTGATGCCATGGTATAAGGTATTATTTGGTATTGTCTGCTTATAAAGTATGCTCGAATTACTGATGGAAGTTAACCGAATTTTGAAGGTGCTTCCAAGACTGCCTTTCAAGGGAGACAAATATAGTAAGCAACTCTGCAGACTAGGCTCCAAACAAGTAGATGCAAACAACATTTCTGTTGTTGCTGCATTTGTTTCTCTGATGTCTGCGTTGTAGCGCTAAGAGATGGTGATATGAGCTTCTTGATGAAGCAAGCAGGCAAACAGGTTTCTGATTTTAGTTGGATGTGGGGCAAGGAAAAATAGCTTGCAGTCAGCACATTCGGTTCTGCTGTAAAATCATCAGTCAGCCTGCTGTGTTTTCATCAAATTCATGGATTGGAATTTCTGAAGGGAATTTTTCATATTACACTATAGTTTCTACCTGCTGAAGAAAAGGGGACAGAATAGAGGAAAAGCAAGATCTAAATCAATGGCATAGTCAGAATTATTAATTTGAAAGGGAATTTTTTGTTTCTTCAAACTTCCCTAGAAGCTATAAAAATGCAGTGAAAGAAAGACTCAGGAGAGGGTAGCACAGCACAGAAAGGTTAAAATGCTGTGCATATTGGCGTAAAGTTACTATATTCTGCAGCATTCTTTTCCATATAAACATTCCCTCTGGTGACATACCCATATGGCTCCACTTTGTCTCTATGATTATTGCTGCTATTCCTTGACTCATTCCTGTTCTGTTTCTCTCCTTGCATTTAGTGTTGATCTAAGAAGGGCCATGCCTTGTAATGGTCAGGGCATGCCCAGACTGCATGTTATGGCGGGTCCCAAATATCCGCCTGACTGGAAGAGGAATCCTTAAAACCCTGGAGGCTAGCTGTCAGATCTACATGCTATTCTGATGAAGTAAAACAAACATTTCAGGATAGTTAATCTGTAGGCAAGATCCTATTAAAAAGGGGTGCTTAGAAAGTGTCATTCTAGGTATAACCCGAAACAGGAGGCAACTATTTAAGTTTATTTCTAGACAATGCAAACAGCTTTCTTATTATTATTACTTCCTTTCAGCTTAAGTGCTGTTTTAACAGCCAGTGTTGCAAATTCAGTCATGCATCTTAGAGTCAAACTGTGGACCTTTAGTTTCATTTATCCCCCCTAGGACTAAAGGTTTTGCAAACCAAATTATACATGCAGTTGCATCTGTTTAATCTTGTGGCCTTCCAGCTCTGCATCAGTGATAGCCGTGCAACCCCACTGTCTTCAGAAACTTATGATGCAAACCTCCCAGTGCTCTTTGCTCACAGGGGGACACTTAAATTAAAGTTTTCAAAGCTCTGGAGGCTCACCAGCAATCATAAAATCTCTTGAGGGACAACAGACTGCATTCACTGACTGAAATTTAGTAGTATATATATGATCTTGCTGATGTAAGAGAGATTTCCTGAGATGCCCCTGAAAGCACAGGAGTGAACCACAGTAAAAGTTTGTGTGTATGGATAAAATGGAGGAATGGGAGTGAATACATACAAAGAATTCATCTTTGTAATAGAAAGGGGTTTTTTTTAATCTGCTTTTTAGGGGACTGCACTGTGGAAAGAGAGGATGTAGCATATCCACATTTCTGACTTTGCTGCTTTGCTAGAAAATTGTAACAGTCAATTCTGATGAGTTCAAACCAATTTTGGAATTCATTACTCCAGGGGGGAACAGGTCAAAAATAATACTGCCTTAGAGGCCTTTGCTTTGTTTGTGGCTTCACCTAAAAGGCACTTCTCTGCAAATTAGAGGGTGTCTACCTGTACTCCTGATACAGGCTGCTGGATCTTTGATAGCAATGTTCCTTTCAATGACAGTTCAAAACTATAACACAGAGACACAGCAAAAATAAAACACTACCTGCAGCAATCCTAGGTCTTCCACTTAAAGATCTTACGCGTATTGCTGTTGCTCTTTCTCAAGCATTTTCTTGCCGCATAGCTCCCTACCTGAGAAACACTGCAGTTTCCCATGTGCTTCACAGAATACAAAGAGAGGCGGCATACCCTGGGAAATACCCATACGGCCAGAGCCTTTTGCTATAAGCTATTATAAGGACCCTAATACTTGTTCTGAGGGGCACCATACATACAGGAAGGTCTTTAGGGCTGAGCAGCAAGTCCCAAGGACACCACAGGGCTCCCGGTCACCCAGAGCAGGGATCTCCGGAGCCAGCAGTGGCCCTTGGCAGGCCACCAGCGGGGGCTTGCTCCCTGCATAAACCCAGGGAAGGGAAGGAGGAAGGGAAGGGCAAGGGCAAGGGAAAAGAGAAGGGGGAAGGGGACTTCCACAAACCCAGATCTCACCTCAGTATAGAGCTGGGAGAGCGCCAGCATCTAGAGCTGAGACCTCAGACATGCTCTTAAAGCTACCTACCAGTTTAGAGTAATTGTAGTGTAGCTAGGACAAAACTGCCTGTTAATCTTGATCTAAATGGCAAGGCTTGGTTTTTACAAGGCTGCAGAATGGTTTGGGATCAGGATTTATATAGCTTCACTCTGAGCTGCAAGATTTAACCATACGCTCAGCGCCTATTTTGGAAATGGTTTCTAGACTGTATAAATGAGACCTTCAAGAGCCTCTGCCTCACCTTCTTGCAGAGGACCACTTTAAAGGTGAGAACTGTGTTTGGGACAGGAGCAAAAAGGAAAAAAGCTCCTTTAAAGGTTCCTGCCCTGTTCACCTGTGAGTAAAGGTAGTGAGAGATAGGGATCCCCCCAGGAGGCTAGGTGAATTGGAGGGGCTCATTAATCACTGACATGGTGCCTGCAGAATAGATAAACCCTTGTATAAACTCTTACCCGTTCAATTTAACTCCTCCCCTAGGCCTGAGTTAACAATTTCCTCCTTTCCACCACCCAGAACCAGAGCAAGCCCTGGCTGCGTTTTGGGGCTGGATGCACAAGCGGGAGCTGCCCGCGGGGCCCCTGCTCTGCTCATGGGGGTGCTTTCCTCACCTTGCCCCAGCCGCCCTGGCTAGCTCAGCCAAGCTCGGGGTGCTGCAGCCAGCAGAGAGCCCTTGCAGCACAGCCACGACAGCCGCGGCGCCGGGACTTGCTCCCAGCCATGGAGGAACAGTTCCAAAATCAACTAAAATTTAAAAGCGGATCTACCAGTAAGAAGCCTCTAAGGCAGCGGGGAAGAGGTTGGGGAACCTGGTATATGAAGTCAGTTTGCTACTTTGTGCAGCCCTTTAGTGCCCATCGCGGAGAAGAGCAGGCAGGGCCCCCCTGCAGCAGCCTGGGCAATAGGTTTGGGGGAGTCAGGGACTAAGGTGGCCCTCCAGCACATGGAAAAGGTGACGAAAGTGGTCAGTGCACTGCGCAAGGGATTCCTGGCAGTTCCCAAATGAATTAAGAAAGTTGCAGCGTAACTCAACTGCATTTCTTGCGTCTTGCCTCTCCTTCCATTTCTCTGGGACAATTCTTGCTATTTCTAGCGAGGATTGTATCTCAGTTTATAACAGGATTTTTTCCTCTGATCAGTTTGGTTCTGAGATATGTTCAAAGACTGGAATATATTTTCCTAACATGTCTGTAACACAGTAGGATTATATTTAGGCAGACAAGACTGAACCATTTCATAACTCGCTTAGCTCATTCTTACAGCTAAGCAAGATTCCTCACCACGATAAGGTCTGCAGTGTGCCTGGAGCCTGCAGCCCTGGTTTACAGCCTGGTTATAGTACTGATTTTAAGGGAGGAAAAAAAAATCCCCAATGCCTTTTAAAATCTGAATAGAAGGAGTCTAAGGATAGCTGAGAGTGACAATCCTCTCTCTCTGCTTCGCCGAGCGCTCTCCCTCACTACAACATATGGAGGTAACAAACCCTTCTAGTGCCTATCGAGGCGCTTCAGGAGCTATTTATGTGACACCAAAAGGCATGTAAGCACCACCATCGGAAGGTTTTATTAAAACAGCTGCCTGTGTTGCTCAGTTACTGGTTCTATGTGCTTACTCAAAAATGTAAATGGCACAAACGATCCTCCACAAATGGATGAGAGCCTGTGCCACAATACCCAGGCTCTTCAGCATTTTGCTGCATGCGGCTTTTTTACTTACAGTCCTTCCCTTCTAAATGTATCGAAATCCACAGTGCCAAACACTTTGTTCTGCAGCTGAGAATTCAAAATATTTGTCTCCAGAACTGGCTGTTCTTTTGTTAAGCAGGTTCCAGTTCATTGCGACTATTGAAACACTCAGCTGGCTTTTGAATGGAAAGAGTACTCTTTCTTCAACTCTGCTATTAAATGCGGATAGGATGGACATAGGATTAAAAAAATTCAACAAATTATTAAATCAGAACCAAAACTTCTGATGAGCAAGTGCTGCCGTTCCAGATTACGTCTAAGGAAAAAGATCAAAGCTACAAAAAAGGCAAAGAGCTGAAAATAGAGACGGTAACTAAAGCTAAAGGAAGCAGAGTGCAAGTTTTTACAAATCTTCTCCTGGAGATCAGTTTTTAGGGTGTTGTCCTCCGACTCACTGCTATAGCTGCAGGCACAAACCATGTCTCACAGTCCTACCTTGGAAGGTAAAAAGCACTTTATTACTTACTGTTGCTGGCAGATCCTTCAGCAACGAAGAGGAGAGAAAGCACGGTGATGAAGTTTTGGCTTTGCATGTTACCTTTTCAGTGATCAGACTTGATGTTCTCTTTTACTTTCTCCCTGGTTCACAAGAACATTTACATTTCCTGTTTCCTGCCTGAGTGCTTCTGAGTTAAATTTCTTCAGGAGATGGACTCTATTTGATTGTTTTTAGGAAGTGATGTAATACCATCCGGGCCTGTCAAGCAAGCAATGATTGCAAAAGAAAAAAGAGTTGCTCTTCAAGCACTAATTCAGCCAAAACACCTATATGCTTTTGGTGAGTGTGTTGCTAGTCTCCTCTATTTTTCTAGACTCCTCTATTGTTTTTCTACTTCTGAAATTAATACCACAGTATTGTCATCTAAATTTAGTGTCATGGGCACAATCATCATCTAAATACCTAGGCAGGATTCTGACACAAAAGATCATTGGTGTGTGTTAAGGTGGAGGACTTCAGGTTGCCTTCAGCGGTGTTTGAATGGGCAGATGTCAATAGTGCGCCCCGATTTTCAAGCTCTAACTCTCCCACCAGCATGGTGGGACATAGCATGCGTTTCTGATCCTGAAAGGCAGCTCTCAAAGCTAGGCTGGCTCCAGCAAACGCAAGAACGACTTGTTCACTTGGCGGCCTGTACCTTTGTATTTAGGGCTGTTTTTAGCTAGAGAAGAGGAAAAAAAACCACGTCCTTTTTTGCTCAGAGCACTTGTATTAGCTGGAAAGTGCTTAGACACTAGTTTGGTGATGACTGTAGATAACAGGATGACAGATGGGCCGTCCCCACCAGGACGAGGATGTGGTAGCTGGGGCTGGAGGACCGTGGTGCTGCAGTTGAGCATTGGCAGGGGGGCGAGGGATGGGCACCCCCAGAGTAGCGCAGGTCTGAGGATTTCGGTAACTCCTGTCTTCCCTGTTCCCTCCTCCTGATTTTCCTTCCTTCCCCGGGTAGTCCCCAGCTGGGCTGGAGACTGTGAGACACGGGCGATGCTGCTTCCCTGTGCTACCTCTTCCTCTGCACCCACCACTGCTTTCCTTCACTCGATAACACATCAGAGGTGGCCACAGGTTGTCGCATATTGCCTGGCCCCAGATGTGCATTTCAAAGGGAGATGGAAGAGCTCCACAGTTTGAAGAAGTGTTTTCGGTCTGCTTTTTATACAGGGGTGGGCCTAGCCAGGGCTCAGAATTTGGATCTGGATTTAAACTATACCTGCCCCCAATTCAGGGAATATTTGGCTCATAGGTTTGGTTTGTTCCACTGAAAAAATAAGTTCTAGATCTGAAATTCATCCCTCTAAGCCAGGGAGTGTCTGCATCCCAGATTTTACTCTGGGCCATTCCAGATTTGAGCTATTGTAAACACTTGCACAAAAGTTGTCAGTAATAAACTGAGTTAGAAGAAATGTATACATTTTGCTGCCTGTGTAGCAGCTTCATGGTATTTCCCCTAGACGTTCCTGTGGGTCAGATTTTGATTTCCAGTGAATTATCTGAAGCTGGCAATGGCGAATCCTGTGTTCAGACGGGGGAAGCTGCTGAAGAGACTAATTGTTGCTCTGCTTTCGCAGCTAATAATTTTTCTTAACACATTGCTGCTTTTATAGGTCATCAGTTATAGTTTCTTAGCTAGGGTTGCTGAGAAATAGGTCAGTGATTCACTTAATGACCAGCTCGTTAATAGATTTACAACGCTCGAATGATTCAGTTAACTAACAATTGAACTGGTTGTTTATCATTGGCAACGTATGTTTATGCACTTTATAAAACAGGGAATAAAAAGCAAAGTTAGACATTGCAGCTACAAGAAGCTAAAGAGGAGCTCTGAGTTATGAAAGCACTGACAGACTAATTAAATTTTTTTCAGGTGGTATTATTTAAGCTGATGTCATAGCCATACATGATAATACATACTATAGAGAAGGGTTAGGGGTCAGGTTTGCCAGTGCTTTTAAGATTTTCCCATTCAAAAATTGCAGAAGTTCCAAGTATTAGTTATAGTCTGTAACTGATATAGATACTTGCAATTATTAGCTATCCTCATTACAGTAGCGCCTGGAATTTCTAGCTGTGGGCCAGGCCACCTCCATGCTAAATGTGATACCTGCCTGCAAAAGCTGTTGCTGTTCCCAAATTGCTCAAAGTGAGAGAAAAACAGATGCAAACACACAGGGACGCCGGGAAGTACAAAAAGAGACAGAGGCAGCGTTGCAGGCTGTGGTCTTAGAAAACATTTTTTTTTTAATGAGTACATCAGGAAAGGGGGGGGAGGGAGGCATCTGAAGGAGACGAGCACCAGCTCTGTACCTACTGGGAACCGGGGCGGGGAGGCACGGGGGGCTGGACGTCGAGCGGGGAGCCATGAGGCCGGCCACGCACGGCCACTGGTGGCAGACGACAGCCTGCCGGACGGGGAAGGCAGCGCGGTGAAAAGCCTTGAGAATGAGGGCAAATAGTGTGGATATACAATAAGTACTGAGCTGGGTGGTATGGATGGATGGGGGGTGTTTGGGGAAGAAAGCAGTCTCTAAATTGTTGCAGAGCAAGATTATTATAAAGATTCAGCATCTCCCTTTCAGAAAGAAGTTCAGAAAGAGGGACTATGCGGGTTTTTCTGATGCGCTCAGAAGACCTGTGGCTTTGCCTAGTTCGGCAGTATGAAAACGGGTCCCAGCCCCTCAGCCGTCAGGCGCAGACGGCAGCCAAAGGGGGCTGGCTGGCATCAGCCCTGTCCAAACTGCAGCTTCCAGCGGGTGGATGACACCGGTGCTTCCCACTGCAGAGGGAACCATCCTGAGGGCATGTATTTTGTGGGTTTAGATGTGGTTATGATACCGCAAAGCCCGAAAAAGAGCGCTGTCATCTGCTCTGCATGGTGTGCTTAGCTGAACAGTCCTGCAGCATGCAGTTATATTCTTGCTGTATGCTCTTTTACAGCTCAGGAAAAGCACTCTGGCTACTACCTTTGGGTTTTAATGAGCATTTACTCTCCTGAGACTATTACTATTGTCCAGCCTAAGCTTTTCTTTTTTCTTTAGTCAGTAGTTTAGCCAAAGTTGTACTTTTAACAGTATTTTTATCCATTTCATTGATATAATTTATAAAGGATGCATTATCCTCCCTTTCATTTCTTCACATCTCTTTCCTAAGTTCTCCAGTCTATGTCCTTCCAGTACCGTACGAGGTGCAACCATTTTCTCTCAGTTTATCATGCCTTGCATATATGGCTATTTTGCCCCATTTGTAGACTTAGCTCAATTCACTCATCACTTACTAAAACATAAGTTTGTATAGAAAGATTGGGAGGGAAAAGAGGGAAAGACATATTTTACTGTATTTGTTTTGCATCTTTGCTGCGTTTTCATCATGTATGTCTAATGTATAATACTATGTCCTTTCCTTCTTTCCCTTCCCGTCTTTCTGTATAGGTTGTAGCATTTCCCGCTTGAATTCTCATCACCTATTTTTGACAGATGTTCGGCTAACAACTCATTGCTTCCCTTTGAGAGCAAGATAACCACCCACTGGTGTGTATCCAATTAATGATTTCTAAGGCAAATTACAGTTCAGGAAATGTGACTTAGTGCCACATGGCATTTTAATTAAGAATTAGGAGTGATATAAAGGCAATGTGGCACGCATTTGACTATTTTAATGCTGGCTAACATCTCAAAATGGAGTTGCTGTTCATGAGGAGTCAGCCCCAAGCGGGTGTGTTCCTAGCAGGCACTTGCAAAATTTGGGTTTCTTTTTGTGTTTCTGCCTTTTGAGTGTGTTTTATCAGTGGCGTGAATGAAGACAAATGTTTGTAGGTGATTCTGTGATTCTGTGACACAGTGATTAAAGGAGGCAGAAGCAAAGAGGACGACAGCTAACTGGTATATAGTGATTCCAGAGAGCTGACTACGCTGTACACAGGCAGACAACTTCGGCTTCAGTGCAGATTCAATAAGGACATATATCTAAGGGCAAAGAAAGTGGACATTGCTGACAAAGATCTCTATCTTTCAGAGCAGTGACTTAGCATCAGTATAGAAAACGAATCAAATGTGAACTTTCAGTGTGACTGAAGGGGCTAAAATGATCCTTGGATTTAGGTACTGGAGAATAGCTGAGGGTGGTTGTGTGTTATGCTGCTTTTGTGACTGTTTTGGTATCCTATGTCCACCTCTGGAGTCTGAGACCAAGGAAGAATATTGAAAGGGCTAAAGGAGGGAACCAAAAATGATGGAGAGATCAGGAAACGTGGTTTATTCTGAGACTGAAGGACCTCCGGATTAGCTTAAAATATGGTAGTAGCTCCAGGAGTAACATGATCTCAGCCTCCAGAAGTACCTGTGTGGGAAAGAAGGAAGTACCAATTTCGCCTGCATTGAAAATGTGGGTCTCACTAACTGTAGCTACTCAAGAAACTGCTGTCATAATCTCCAAAGTTGTGCTTGTCCGTGTTCTAATAATTTATGATTGAAGCATAATAATTAAATAATAGTTGAATTCATATTAACTTTAAAAAAATCATAGAGAAATAGGAATCAGGTATTTTGGATGATGAAGAATCTAGATCGTCACAGAATGGCAGTTACCTCAGTCCATCCCCACTAAAGCTTTGATCGTATTCCCTTTGAAACACTTTCAGCAAGTTCCCTTTCAGCTGTCCGAAAAACAAGTTTAGTCCAGTTGCTTAGGCTTTCTTCTTCAGCTCTATTTTTACCTCCTCACAGTAGAAATATGGAAAACAAAAAATGTAGTGATAATCTTGCCCCAAAACAAGCCTGTGTATTTGGAAGCCTGAACAGCTTCTTCAGTCAAAGGTGAAATGAGAGGAGTAGATTATTGCTGATAATTTCATAGGCCTTAGTCTATTTAGTAGGATCCACAATGTAGCTTAGCAAAGAGAAATGTCTTTTCACAGATGAGAGAACTAAGTTTCCTGTGTATTTCCAGAATATGTTACCCATCTGGAAACATCTGCGCATGTTTTAGGTACAGTTTCAAAGACTTTTATGTCATAAACATTTCTGACTACCTAAATAGACTGTTTGCTTATGTTCTTCTTTAATCAG